CAGAACCCCAGGTTCATGTTCTGGGGACATAGCTTTCAATCCCTCAATAGGAATTTTGGGATGATGCCCTCTGGTCCTAGACTTTCCCACAAGGAGAAAAAGTCCTTTCTATACCTTCCTCGTCAGTTGTCATAAGGACCCATCTGGTTCACTAAAGCCCGTTAGAGAAGGAAGTCTGCTGCCTTTGCCTGGCCTGGTCTACAAATGTCTCCAGGTCAACAGCAATGTGGTTGACTCTTAAAACTGCCCCATGCCTCCTGGCCAAACCACTCAAATCAAGAGGAATTATTGAATTTCTTTAAATACAGTCCCATCCAGAGCCACCCACATCCCCATGAACAAATTTTTAAATAAACTTCAAGTCCAATATTACTCTTCTTCAGAACATTGTCTGCTTTATTGATGTTGACCTGGACCAAACTGGCATTAAAATGAAAGATGCTCCAGGCTTCCAAAGGGCAACCTGGAATCTACAGCCAGAAATGACAAGGGCACCACTTGAAACCGGGCAAGTAAGAAAGGGAGAGAGAAAGAAGAAGTGACAAAATTGCTAATTTGAAGGACAGGAATTTATAAAACAGCTGAACTTAGAACATAGGAAGTAGAAATGGTAGGGACCTGATAGAGTAATACTTTCCTTAGCTCCTGTAACAGGAACTAGACAGGGTAAAATAACATTGAAAGATTTAACAAATATTTATGACAGTTTCCGAGCTGTAGATATATTACTTCAGTATCTGTGCTAATACTATTCAGGTATAAACAGTACCTTCGCATGCACCATGTCCCCAGTGACAATGGAGTCTGAGAACTTTATACCCTCAGTGTTACTGTGATGACATCGTGAGCATGATTCTTAAAGGTACACTGCATACTGTATGTGAGACAAAACATATTGTACTAATTGCAGGAACAGCAACTCATATTCCGCTTGGGAACCCTGCAGCCCAATGGTATCAATGTGGACTTCACAAGCTTCAAAATCTCCCCTCCCCCTATCGCATCCCAAAACCAGCCCAGCTCGTCCCCGCCTCCCTAACCTGTCCTTCCTCCCACCTATCCCCTCCTCCCACCTTAACCCCCACCCCCATCTCCTGCCTACTAACCTCATCCCGCCCCCTTGACCTGTCTGTCCTCCCTGGACTGACCTAACCCCCTCCAACTCCCCACCTACGCTCACCTTTACTGGCTCCATCCCCGCCTCTTTGACCTGTCTGTCTCCTCTCCACCTATCTTCTCCTCTATCCACCTTCTATCCGCCTCCCCCTCTCTCCCTATTTATTTCAGAACCCCCTTCCCCTCCCCCATTTCTGAAGAAGGGTCTAGGCCCGAAACGTCAGCCTTCCTGCTCCTCTGATGCTGCTTGGCCTGCTGTGTTCATCCAGCTCTGCACCTTGTTATCTCAGATTCTCCAGCATCTGCAGTTCCTACTATCTCTCCTCAGCAATCAGAGTACATTTAAATGATCCATTCAATTCTGACTGTCTGACTGTATAGCCTTTAATACCTCCTACTGAGCTTGGGCATTATTCACAAATTCCCATAAACAACAAAATCAGGGAAAATTCCATGGACAAGGTTTTAGTGTAAGGATTCAGGCCAAGCTACACTGAAGTGTGGACACCGAAGGGAGAGGTGAGCTCAATCAGGAAACATAATGTGCAAATGCACCTCAGCACACACTGAACTCATGCGTTGTTAACTTTTGTGCTCATCAAGATGATGAAGCAGGACACCAGGAAAGGGACAATTATCCCCAGCTGAAAATTAGCATCAAATCATTCCGGGAATCTAGTACATAGTCCAGGTGTCACCCAGTCCTGGAGTCACTCGAACCAAGAGTGACCCAGCTCAGTCCTCTGGAGTGGGATTTGGTACCTGCAGTCATTCAGATCTCCCTAGTCAGCCTGAATTTCATGTTCAGGTTTATCGAGTGGGACTTGAAATATCCTGGTTTTGGGCTGACAAGTGGTGAGTGACATTTGCGCCACACAAATGCCAGGCTATGACCATCACCAATAAGAGACAATCTAACCACAGCCCCTCGACATCCAATGGTGTTACCATCACTGCATCCCCCACTATCAACATCCTGGGGGTTACCATTGACCAGAAACCCACTGGACCCACCACATAAACACAGTGGTTGCAAGAGTAGGTCAGAGGCTGGGAATGGTGTGATGAGTAACTCACCTCCTGACTCCCCAGAGTCTGTCCACCATCTCCAAGGCACAAGTCAGGAGTATGATGGAATACTCCCCGTTTGCCTGGATGGGTGCAGCTCCAACAACACTCAAGAAGCTTGACACCCGCCGGGACAAAGTAGCTATTTGACTGAGATCCCTCCACCAGCGGCAGCTGTGAGCACCATGCACAGGAATCAGTGCAGCAACATGCCAAGCTGCTTCAGAAAGCACCTTCCAAACCCACGACCACTTCCATCTAGAAGGACAAGGGGCAGCAGATACACGGGAACACCACCCCCTGAAAGTTCCCCTCTAGGCCACTCACCATCCTGACTTGGAAATACATCACCGTTCCTTCACTGCCGCTGGGTCAAAATCCTGGAATTCCCTCCCTAAGGACATTGTGAGTCAACCTACAACACATGGGCTGCAGCGGTTCAAGAAGGTAGCTCACCCCCACCTTCTCAAGGGGCAACTAGGGATGGACAATAAACGCAGGCCTAGCGGTGATACTATGTGTCATGAATGTATAAAGAATTCTGGAATTTCGGAATGCTGAGTTCATTACGTGGGATTGTATCACTCATGGTGTACATTTTACATTTCAGTTTGTTTCCAATATGCATTGCACATAAAACAGCCTTACCATCAGAACAGAGCAACTACTTGTAAAGATCACTGTGTCCACAGTGCCCAGTCTCTCTGGTGTCAGCT